GGAGGAACTCTGTAAAAAATGGCTGTAATTCCTAAACGGTTAATGCAATATTTTTGTTAAACCCCTTGAATTAAAGCTGAAAGTCTATGCTTCAGTCACATCTTGACTGCTTCATTTCAAATCCACTGTGGTGGTGTACAGAGGCAAAATTACCAAAACTGTGTCACTGTCCCAATATTTATGGACCTGACTGTACATCTTTGTACAGAGCTTCCCACAAAATATAGTAAACTTCCCAAGGAATAACTCTGATGACCATGTGAATGAAAATGGGAAGCTTCTGAGTGAGCTCTGTCTGAGCCTTGGTCTGTACCTTGTCAGTTATACTCTCTTGGAAGGTATAACTATAGTTCATTTCATGGTTGCTCAGAAGTTGATTACATGATCCATGATCATTAGAACCATTCCCTTTCAAAGCATTCACAGTCAAACCACTAAGACCCCTATCAGATCACAGCCAAATTACTGTGTATTTCAAAAGGGCACAAAATATTAACATGCATTCACAGCCCAGTAAGCTGTATGACATTAGAGAAAACTACAGATGGGCCCAAAACAGCACAGAAAAATATGGGACAGCAATTGACAACAAAAAAAATTTTTTTTTTTAATCCAACTAACACAACTAACACTAATCAGCCTAGGGACACTGACCCCCTCATCCACAAAATCTGGCCCAACCCAATGATTAATGCACAAAAAGAAAACTATTGGACTGGAACGACACAAAAACAAAATAAACTACTATCTGGGTGTAAAACCTGCAGAATACAGCAGAACCCCCGAGCATATTCAGAGACAACAAGCTGGCATGGTACATCGGCAAGGTACATCGATGACTGCTACAAAAAGAGGGAAGAGTCGAACAAACAGTTAAGTGGTGAGCTCATGAGCTCACACACAAACACAGACACTTACACACACGCACACACACACACACACACACACACACACACATAGCTCACAGCCCATAGACTGTACTTTTTGTTGTTTACTTATTTGTTTATTTATTTATTATTTTTTCACTTGATAGTCCTATAATTTGATCTCTGTTCAGGTTTTATCCTTTACCTGCATAAATGCTTTGACAATACATTGTAAAATACATTGTCGGGCGAATAAAGCTCATTTGAATTTGAATTTGAATTTGAGTTTCAAGGCACCAGGAGCTTATATAAATTATCACATATGTGCACTTCAGTGAATTACTTTTAAATCACATTTTTCACATGTTTATTAAGAAAAATGATGTTAAATATGAATAATTTGATATAAAAAAAGTGTTATAAAGTTAAAATCATGAAAAATAAAGATTAAAAAGTCATTATTTGCCAAATATGCACTAAAACACTGTTTTCTCAACATGTGTATGTGCTTTTAAAATTGTGTGCTTCAAAACGCTATTCAGAGAGTTTCAAAGCGCCAGGAGCTTGGGAAAGTGGTTTTTCTAACAAAAGCATGTATGCACTTGAGTGAAGTACTTTTCCATGACATTTTTCAAATGTTTATGAATAATAATAATATTAAATATCAATGATTTCAATAAAATGCATTAATTGATATTAGAGTGTTATAAAGTCAAAATCGTGAAAAATAAAGTTTAGAAAGTCATTATTCACCAAATTTGCAGTAATACACTGTTTTCTTAACAAATCTGTACGTGCTTTTAGAAGTGTACTGTTGGTGATCTGAAAACGCTATTCAGAGAGTTTCAAGGCGCCAGGGGCTTAGGAAAGTAGTTTTTCTAACAAACGCATGTATGCACTTGAGTGAAGTACTTTTCCATGACATTTTTCACGTGTTTATGTTGAATATAATAATATTAAATATGAATGTTTTTAATAAAATGCATTAATTGATATTAAATATGAATGATTTCAATAAAATGCATTAATTGATATTAGAGAGCTATAAAGGCAAAAGCGTGAAAAATAAAGTTTAGAAAGTCATTATTCACCAAATTTGCAGTAATACACTGTTTTCTTAACAAACCTGTATGTACTTTCAGAAGTGTACGCTTGGTGGGCTCAAAACGCTATTCAGAGAGTTTCAAGGCGCCAGGGGCTTGGGAAAGTGGGTTTTCTAACAAACGCATGTATGCACTTGAGTGAAGTACTTTTCCATGACATTTTTCACATGTTTATGAAGAATAATAATATCAAATATCAAAGATGTTAATAAAATGCATTAATTGATATTAGAATGTTATAAAGTCAAAATCGTGAAAAATAAAGTTTAGAAAATCATAGTTCACAAAATTTGCATGAACATTTTGTTATCTTAACAAACCTATATGTACATTTAGAAGTGTACGCTTGGTGGGCTGAAAACGCTATTCAGAGAGTTTCAAGGCACCAGGGGCTTGGGAAAGTGGTTTTTCTAACAAACGCATGTATGCACTTGAGTGAAGTACTTTTCCATGACATTTTTCACGTTTATGTTGAATACAATAATATTAAATAAGAATGTTTTTAACAAAATGCAATAATTGATATTAAATATGAATGATTTCAATAAAATGCATTCATTGATATTAGAGTGTTATAAAGTCAAAATAGTGAAAAATAAAGTTTAGAAAGTCATTATTCACCAAATTTGCTGTAATACACTGTTTACTTAACAAATCTGTACGTGCTTTTAGAAGTGTACTGTTGGTGATCTGAAAACGCTATTCAGAGAGTTTCAAGGCGCCAGGGGCTTAGAAAAGTGGTTTTTCTAACAAACG